CGCTCCCCTGCCAGTGCCGCGCTCCACACGGCTCGCGCCCGGCCCGGCGTCCCGGCCCGTCCCGGCCCGTCCCGGCTCACCTCAGAGTCCCAGGCGACAGCCGGCCCGACGCGCGCGGCCCCCTGAAGGAACGTGTCGACTTTTTCGCCGCCTAGCGCTAACAACCGGAAGTAAAACCTCGCGACCAAAGGAAAAAGAGTGTAAGGGGGAAGGGCAAAAAAGAGAGAAAGTGAAAACTGAACTGCGGGGGGCCCCCCAGGAGACACCAGCCAATCACGGGGGAGAACCCACGGCGCAGGCGCGAGCCACCATTGACTTCCACGCGGCGCTTACTTTTTCTCTCCGCGCATGCGCGAGGTCACAACCCACTTCATAATGCACTGAGAGGCCTGCACCAGCGACTTCTCGCGGGACTGGCACCCGCGGCCGGAAACGGTGCTTACAGGAAGAGGCGGGAGACTGTGGGATTCGTCATAATGTGGTAGAGTTGGCTCGTCTTTCATTTTCTCTGCTGCCAGTCCCTTGTACCTCAGTGTGCCAGGACACCTTCTACATTTTGTCTGTTCCAAAAGCAACGTTTCCGAAATTTTGCTCTTGTTTTAATTTTTAGTAAATGCTTGCTCCCTTAATATCTGCTAAAACAACTTTATGTGGAGAGCGCGAAGGTGACCATAAATAACATTCCAGGTCTGTGCTTACCTGGGATAAACATCACTAAGAGTTTGACAGCCATTACAGGGAACATGCCTCGCCTTGGGAACCCTAAGAGATTTTAGACACTGAAGTGGGATTTTACCCTGTGCCCAGGCGCAGTACTAGACTGATACCACAGTTCTGAGCAAGTTTGACAAGAACCTTACCTAAAATGGAATTTATCCTAGAGGTGAGTAACAAACACCATCACAATAAAGTAGACGTTCAGATAATATATGCTGTTAAATTGGCGATGAGTAGATGGTGTTTGGGACTGGAGGCCAATGCGGAAGGGGCAGAGCTACAAGGTCTCAATGAAAAGTGGACATTGGAGGTCAAAACCCAAAGACAGAACAAACCAGAGCCTGTGGGGCATGCCTGTAATCCCAGTGCTCTGGATGCTGATGTAGGAGGATCTCAGCTGGTTTGAGGTCAGCTTGGGCTACTTAGTGAGTTCAAGGCTAGCCTAAAAAACAACAGCAACACACACACACACACACACCCCAAATGAATTCTTAAAAGATCCGGAGGAGTTTTCCAAGCAGAAGGCGAACCAAGTGTAAAGGCCGAGAGAAAAGTCTGGTTAAGACATGAAGAAGAATTTTGCTGTAATAATAGAGAATGAAAAAAAGGTGTATGGAAGCAGTTTGTAAAGTTTCATGGTTTATCTTACAGCAAATATTCATGAAACCACCAGCTGCTACCCCCATATCATGTTGAAATTTAATTGCCATTGCAGTAGTATTAAGAGGTGGGATCTTTATAAGTTGGTTAGGTCATGAGGGCTCTGGTCTTACAAATGGGTTAATGTCATTATTACAGGGGTAAATTACTTATCACAGGAGTGTTCCTGATAAAAGGATGCAGTTTGGCCTGATTCTCACATTCTTTGTGGGTGCTTGCTTGCCTGCCCCTCCAACAGATTGTAAAACAGCATAAAGGCCCTCACCAGATGCAGCCTCTAGATCTTAGGTCTTCCTAAGCTCTGTAATCATAAACCAAATAAACTTTTAAAAATTGCTTTTGACATTCCCAGTCTGGTATCAGCAGACGATGGACAAAGACACCACCCTTTCCTACTACCAAACCAAATCACTATTCTTATATCCGTGGTAATCTCTTATATTCAAAAACAGGCTTGACAGGTAAATATGCACCCTCGAACTTTATCATTTACTTGTTTGTGATTTGAACTCTAAAATAGTTTTGTGACTGTATTGTGAATCTCATGTTTTTGGGTGTTCATTGTTATTGCTATATATGTAGATATGGCACAGTTTGTTTTGCTGTTGATGGACATTTGAATTGTTTCCAGTTCTTGGTTATTATAAATGCTGCTACTGAACTTTCTTACTCGTGTCTCTTCATGCACATGTGCAATTCTTTTGCTGGGTGTATATCCAGAAGTGGAATGGTAGAATGCTAAACATGATAATCTGGATCTATGTTTCTGCAGTATACCTCCCACACTACTGGCTAAGCTTCTCTTGTTTGCTGATATTGGGCCTGTTTAAGTAAATTCTTTTGGTTAAAAGAATATCAGACATTACACGAGAGTCTTCAGTGTGTTTGTGTAGTTTGAGTTGGCTTGTTCTGAGGTGATTTACATGAGAACATGTCTCATGTAGCTGCTTCCCCTTCAGCCTGGATTTCCAGAACAAATCTTTATGGAGCAGATGTGACGCCAATTTATAGCATCATGAATTAATCTAATTTATGTTAGGTTAACAGAACCCTAGATTTCCTGAAGCTTGATGAGCCTGAGAATTAATTCTGGTATTATAAGCCACTGAGTGTGGAGTGGTTTTGCAGCATTATAATGGCAATAAGGAAGGCAATGTTCAAGTTTAGTGGGTAAGGAAAAACTTTTTGGAAGTTAGCTTTATCAAGTTAAACTTCCACAAGCAGTACATAGGAATTCTAGTTCTTTTACATATTTGCCAACACTTTTTATGTTAGCTACTGTAGAGAGTACAATTATAGTTTGAATTTGCATTGCCTATAACTTTGGTTTTTTCAAATGGATTTTGGCTAGTGTAAGTTTTTGAATTTCTGTATAAATTATAGAAGCAACTTACCATTTTTTCTCATCTCAAAAAATGGTGAAATTTTGTTTGGGATTGTGTTAAATATGTATTTCAATCTGGGGATGAATTAACATCTCTAATGTCTCTTCAAATCTTTGAGACATTATGAATCTATTTAGGTCTTTTAAAATTTAAGCAACATTTATAATTTTCAGTGCACAGGTCTTCCATACATGCTATTTATTTCTTTATATTATTGATGCTGTTCTTAATGATTCTTAGACTATTTAATTTATGAAGATTTGTTTATATATAAATAAAACTGATTTCTCTCATTAATCTTGTATCTTGCAATTTACTAAATTCATTTATATCTAGTAGCTGTTTATGTGTTTGCAATTTTAGGCTCTTCTAAGACAAATCCTCTTCTAGCATTAAGGCCTCTAATAAAATGTTGAATATAAGGGGCTTTTCAGATGTAGGAATTTTTCTAGTTTCAGAGAGCTTTGTTCGTAAGTGGGTGTTGAATTTTGTCACTTTTTGCATCTACTAAGATTATATATATTATTTTGGTCTATTAATATAATGAATTACACCTATTGTTTTTTTTTGGTTGTTGTTGTTTTGTGACAGGGTCTCACTTTGTATTTCAAGCTGGCCTTGAACTCATGGCGATCCTCCTTCCTCAGCTGCCCAAGTGCTGGGATTACAGGTGTGCACCATGGTACCTGGCACATTAATTGGTTTTTAAATGTTACACCAATATTGAGTTCTTGAGATAAACTCAATTTAGTCAAAATGCATTATCTTTTTCATACAGTTCTCTTATAAGTACAGCTGTAAGGGCCTGTATTTTTCTTTATAGGAAGCTTTGTAAATTCAAATTTCCTTCCTTCCTTTCTTTCTTTCTTTCTTTCTTTCTTTCTTTCTTTCTTCTTCCTTCCTTCCTTCCTTCCTTCCTTCTTTCCTTCCTTCCCTTCTCTTCCGTTCCCCTCCTTTCCCTTCCTTTCCCTTTCCTTTTCGTTCTTTTTCTTCTCTTCCTGTTCTTCTTCCTTGTATTGGGGATTGAACCTAGGACTTTCACACTAAGCTATATTCCCAGCCTATTTTTTATTTTTGAGACAGGGTCTCAATCACAAAATTGCCCACACTGGGCTCAAACTTGCAATCCTCCTGAGTCAGCCTTTTAGAGTGCTGGGATTGCAGGCATGCACCACCAGACTCATCTCAAATTTTCTTTAATAGGTGTAGCGCTGTAAAGGATATCTGTTTCAGAGGAAGAGAATCCTACAACTAGCACTGTCATACTGGGGTGACTGGGCATTCTTGGGGAGCAAATCCAGGAACTTAACACTATGTGCACAGAGCAATGGAATACATACTGCTGCAATTTATTATCAAAAGTATTCAGTTTTCAACTGGAAATTTTGAGGCATGCAAAGAAATAGGGAAGTATAACCCCTTATACTGGGAAAAAAGCAGGCAGCAGAAACCACTTACAAGAGTGGCCAGATACCAGGTTTAGTAGATGAGAGTTTCAAAGTATTATAAATATATTCAGAAGACTAAGGAAAATATGATAATAAGTAAAGAAAGGTATATGACACAATGGTGCATCAAATAATACATATCAGGCCAGGCATGGTGGTGCACGCCTGTAATGCCAGCACTTGGGAGGCTGAGGCAGGAGGATTGCTGTGGGTTTGAGACCAACCTGGGCTACAAAGTGAGCTCAAGGCCAGCCTGAACTGCATAGTGAGACCCTGTCTCAAAAAGACAAAGTAAATATCAATAAAAAGAAATTCTTAACCAAATAGAAAATGTGAAGTACAGTTGAAATAACAATAGAGGGATTCAGAAGTAAATTCAAAATGGTAGAAAAATTACTGAACTTTTTTTATGATACCAGGATTGAAACTAGGGAACATTAAGCTATATCCCTAGCCTACTTATTTGTTTATTTATTTATTTTTATATTTTGAGACAGGATCTTGCAAAGTTGTCCTGGCTGACATTGCTCTTGTGATTCTCCTGGCTAGGCCTCCCAAGTAGCTGGGATTACAAAGTGTGTACCACCATGCCCAGCAGAATTAGTGAACTTGAACATGGATCAGTAGAGATAATACAAATTGAAGAACAGAGAGAAAAAGAGTGAAAGAAAAAGAACAGAGGCTCAGAGAAATGATACCATTTCCAACATGGGACAATGATACCAATATATGTATAGTAGTAATACCAAAAAGAGAGGCAAGGGATAGTATTAACATATTCAAAGAAATAATGACTGAAAACTTCCCTGACTTATTAAAAAATAATCTACTCATTCAAAAAGCTCAACAACTGCCAAATGGTATAAACACAGAATGATACACGGATATATCATGGTAAAAATGTTGAAAGTCAAATGCAGGGCCAAAATCTTGAAAATAACAGAAAAATAAGTTGTCACAAAGGAACTTTAATAAGATTAACAGTTGCCTTAGCAGCAGAAACAACAGAGGATAGAAGGCTGTGGGATGATATTAAAAGAGCAGATGTAGGGGCTGGGATATAGCTGAGTGGTGTAGTGCCTGCCTAGCAAGGGTGAAGCCCTGAGTTTGATTCCCTGTACCCACCCCCACGAAAAAAGAGCCCATGGGAAAAAACTGGTAATCAAGGATCTTATATACAGCAAGCTATCTTTCAAAAATGAAAATGAATTAAAGATTGTCCCAGAGAAACAATAACTGAATTTGTTGCTAGCAGATCTGCCTTACGGAATAAAAAGAAAAAACCAAAGGTGGTCTTCAGATTGAAAGTAAGTGTCACTTGATGGCAGTTTGAATCCAAATGAAAAAGCACCACCTATAAAGTTAATTACAGAATGATAAAAATGCACATGTCCCCCTTTTTTTATATAACTGATTTAAAAATCAAGTGAATGAAATAATATGTGTAATATATTTGACAACAATATAAAGGAAATAGGCAAGAACGAAGCTATGTTTGGCTAAGGACATGGTCATGGATTGGAAAAAAATAGTTTTGATAATACAATTTTGACTTTGTAGCATGTATATCTATATCATAGGTATATATGTATATCTATATCATAAAAAGAAGGAAGAAAAAATGGAGCTATATAGGTGTAGTGTTTCTGTGTATCACTTGAATTAAACTATAA